CCAAGCCCGCTACAGTGGAAGCCAAGGTTGAGGAGCCAGCCAAGCCCATGGGGTTGCCCAAGCTTCCTGCAGAGGCCGCGTCCTTGCCATGCGTGGCACCCAAAGACCAACCCAAAGCAAAAGCCAAAGCCAAAGCCAAGGGCCGAGCCAAGGGCAAGGGAGGCAAAGATGATGAAGAGGAAGATTTAGGTGATGATGAGGAGGAGGAGGAGGGGGAGGAAGAGACAGTGCCCCCCCAAAAAGGCGAGGGGCAAAGCGAAGGCAAAGGCGAAGGCAAAGGGGAAGGCAAAGGCAAAGGCGAAGGGGCAAGCAAAGGCTGCTTCTTCGAAGAAGAAGAAATCCGAGGCTGATGAGATTGTGGATGAACACGAGCCTGAAAAGAAAGCCCCCAAGCGCCAGAGGCCTGCAAGGAAGCCTCAGACAGAAGCATCTGAGGCTGCCGGTGCGGAGGACACGGCAACAGCAAAGGAGAAGACAAAGAAGAGACGCGACTCCCAGCCAAAGGCTGAAGCTGAGGGCAAGGAGGAGGGTGAGGAGGAGAAGAGGAAGAAGAGTCAAAGCTCCAAGAAGGAGCAAGATGGCCAACCAAAGGCGACCAAAAAGCGTGAGGTGCCTGAGGAGAAAGCGGATGCCCCAGTCGAAGGCGATGGTGCTCCGATGCCAACAAACCTTCAGGCAGATGCTGAGCGCAAGGCCAAGCGATCCAGGAAGTGCTGTGCCTACAGCGCTGCTTACAAAAAGAACCTGGCCCTGGGCGAAGAGATTGCCCGTGAGCGGGCAAAGGCAGTAACATGGCAGCATATAGACGCTTAATCAACGCACGACACACGATGAATATAGAATACATGCCATGCCTAAGGCATACAAAGCCGCTGAGTGAGAGCCAGTGATCCACTTAGCTGCTAGCTTTACGGGGCTGTTATGGGAAAACCTGTAACCATGTGGCAACATGTGGTCTTTGGATTTTGGGGTTGCGGCTGATCAACACTTTCAGCTGTGTGGATGCAATGCATCATACGCCTGACGGCTCCTGCCTTTGAAACAAGGCAAAACATGAGCGACTAACCTTTTTTCAGAGCAGCTGTGCATCATACACTATATCTCAGGCCCAAGCTGTGTCACGCCAGGATCGGTCATCTTGCAGAATGGCCTGGATGATACGCGCCAGGCTTTCAGGTGCCTACCGCCCCAGTTTGTGTTGCTCTCACTCTGATGGTGGTTACCTGCTTACTTTCTTGAATTGAAGCTGTAAAGGCCCAGGAGTTTTTCCTAAGCCATGCCGTCCAATGTTCGGGGACGCTCGATCCCATTCAACCTCATGCGGATGGGGGGCACCAAAACTTCTTGTATGCTTAGTGTCATGCCAGCACTATAAAAATGTGGCTTCCAAAGCGCCGGCGCAAAAAAGAAAAACATGTGAACCAAGGTCTTGCTTCTCCAATGGTGCGACTTCAAAGTCGGAGGGCCATTTGTTTTCTTCGAGGTGTTCAGCGGAAAGGGTGCTGTGACACGTGCGTGGCAACATGTCTTATATAGCTATATACTGTTTCACAATGCAATGCTCAATGGTCGTAAACGTTGGGTTGACCGGGAACTCAGGCACTCCGAGGGGTATAGCTGCGCCTCCTTTGACAGAGACTACTGCCCAAAAGGTATGAATTTCTTGGAGAACTCTGGATTTGCGTGCCTAGTTGTGATATGGAATCCTCAGGTGAAGGTGAACCCTGTGCAAGCCTCCGCATAGTCTGCCGAGGTTGTGCGTGCTCTGCGCCATGAAGATGGTCCCCAATGGCATTGTTCTCCTGGCACCGCAGTGTAGTAGTTGGGTGGTAGCTTCCCGTGGGACAAGCAGGAGATCATATATAAATCCTATGGGGTTCGCTGGCTATGATTTTGTGGCACATGGTAACGAACTATGTGCCCGGTTGTTTGGCTGCAAACAAGTTTCAGGTGTGTGCAGTTCAACCGCGGAGGTTTGAAGTCAATTATACTCCCCAGGCTCACACTTCTGCTGATGGTAGCTATGGCTACCTTGGCCATATTTGTGGTGGAGAACCCAGCCGGGACGTTGCTGTGGCAACATGACCGGTTTTCGCATTTCTGCAACCTCATGGCATACGTCTTTGGGTTGCAGCTATATGGAATCAGAAGTATATATATATATATTACATAATATATAGTTGGTGCACTCAGGTCTATTCATGCAGCTTTTGGATGAAGCACTTTGGGGGCAAAACCCCAAAAAGAACAACGGTGATGAGCAACAGCCGTTTCATTGCCTTGTTGGATATGGGCCCTTTAAGCCGGCGATTGAACAAAAACAAATCAGACACCACCAGACTTTTGGCTGCAGTTCACCAATATATGCGCACTTCTGTTGGTTTAGAGAACTCTTTGCACTTGTGAGGACAGTATTTCAACAGTGCTGGAGAAAAGAAGTTTGTCGGAACATCCAAATTGAAGGCAACCCAGACCCCTGGCAGTGCCTTAAGCCCTATTTGAAACTTGAAAGATGGATTGCAACATAGTCAACCCGGATCCATTTTCATCACCACTGCCTCGACCAGCCCAGGGAATATCCACGTCGCTTTGGATTCCGAATCCTGGATGTCTACAAACAGGCCAATCTGAAAGAGGAGCGTCGAGACCTCCGGGTGGTTTTTGCGGTGGATTTTAGCGAGTCTGACAGGGAGAACTTTGAGAAATACCCTACAGGGGATCTGTGGGACGATGCTTCGCTAATCGATGTTGTGCTGTACATTTGGAAGTATAAAGGTCTATCAATCCCTGATAGCTGGGCCAACACGATGGAAAAGTTCATTGAGTCGATCAATACACATGTTTCTCGGAGATACATCTTTCTTAGAAATCAACCGCTTCTACAGGAGATTGCTGTGTTTAAACCTATATAAAGATTATAAAGGGTGCTTGACGATTGTCACACCAAGGCTGGATGATCTGCATGTGGTCGGTGGCCCCAAACTCGGCTGACTGGCTAGTCAGAGGTTGGGAGCACCAACCTTGAGATCGCTATGATAGCTACAAATGAGTTCCAAGAGAGATTTGGAAAACCTGCGAACGTTTTTCACCCGCAAAAACGGCCGCAAATACCCGCAAAACGACCGCAAAAAAGCGCAAACGAGCGCAAATTTTAATTTTGGTACCTTTAGTAATTTTTACATGCACGCTAGAAACACCCTTGTTGGAACTTGTCGGGTGTAGCTTGATGCTTTTGGCCCGAGTGTGGTGATCAATAGGTAGGGCGAGATGATGGAGTCCCAATTAAGCTGTGAAAGTTTGAAGCTAGGTGCTGAAGCTTTAGGGGTCAACTGTCAGAGCCCTCCTACGCAGCACATGGATATTGATGCTATCATACGAGCCCCTCAGCCAATCAAATAGCTTTCATGTCGATCAGATTTCATTAGTTTCCCCATGTTTCCATCCTCACTTCAATTCCAACTCCCTTTAAGGCAACGGAGGAGAGAATCGCCTGCCTTGAGCAGCAAATGGCTGGGAGCTCCACAGTGCGTCCTCGGCCGTTCTCTGAGATTGCTACTAAGAAGCCAGGCCGTAGTTCCAACATGTACTCAGCTAGTGGAAAGTCTCTAGGGGAGATTGGGAGTTTGTTTTGTACGCCCATCAAAGAGAAGCTATATATATATATATATGTCAATGGGTGATTCATGGGTGCTTGTGTTGCCTGACCAGATGATCCACATGCTTTTGCTGAATCTGATGGACGCTTTCGCTCATCTGCTCCCATCCGGCGACTTGCGGACGAAAGCTTCCAAACCCCGCCAGCGAAGTATGCCAGGATGAACTCTATGGTTGTCAACAACGGACGTGGTGAGCTGAGACAGTCCCCACTTGAAGCGGCCCAGGCTGCTTCTCATACAACCCCAGCAGCCCAGGTTCCTGTTAAGGTTGAGCCCCAAGAGCCTCCACCCAAGACATCCCAGCCTACTTCATCTAAGCTGGACGAATCGAAGGGCACAGAGCAATCGAAGAGCACAGAGAAGTTCGACAAATACTACCACAGGCCTGCCTTTATTAGTGCTAGTTATTATATGTTTCTCTTGGGCCCCACTGGCTGACCTTTTGAGCCTTGTTCCGTACCCTTATATCCGCAGGTTGGTTCGGTACTTCAAGCTGCGACAAGATGGGACAGCGATTTGTTCCCAGGAGGCCATGCAATTATGAAAAACTCAAGAGGGTCGTGACTTAGCACAAACCTAGACGTGAGGTATCTAAACTACCGGTCTTGAGGTTATACTGATAAAAGCAAGTGTTGGGTATAGAGCGCCTCTAAAGCCTTAGGTCTCTCATGTTCAATGCAAACAGGGTCGGTGCTGTATGTTCAAACAGAGTCCGGGGAGAGACAATTGATACTTGAAACCGTATATACAAACACAGCGTGTATCAACACCAGGGAATGAATAGAGACCACTCTTTCCCTTCCACACTAAGGTGAGAAGCTTCGAGTTGCTCTCAAGGAGCAGGGTAGTTTCGAAGGCATGGAGACGCAAGTGAGACGATGGCAAAGCAAGGCATCCGTGAAACAAACGACTTCAGCAATGGTCACTAAGCATTGGCTCATGGCGGAGAAGCATTGGACCAAGTCAGATCCTCATTACATCTGCTTCGTGGTTTCGTTGAGAACATACGTCACAAACACACCAATGGATGTTCCATTAACGCTTGAAACCAAGGGCTATGTGTGATCGTGGGTTTGAATGGGCAAAGCAAAACGGGCTCTGGCAGATCAATCCTGTCCACGGCGAAGAAGAAGCATCTTTAGTGATCGAACGACTTTTCCAAGTCGAAGAACAGCAATGTGAAACAACGACTCAGTCCGGGTCGTTTGAGACCCAGGCTAGTTCTCGATTTGTTGTTCAAGTAGAGCCTACACAGCGCTACAGCATGTTTTTTTACAACAGGTGTCAACACTTGAGAGTTCCAACAACACACGTCCACTCTGCCAGGATCCCAACGGGAACTTCTTGACGCAGGAGGTTGCTGTGGAAGATGCCTTCAAAACAACGGATGGCGGTGATGGGGTGGTCACGGAAGGGTCTGGCGCGTCTTTCCGGTTTCTCGAGTTTTTTGGGGTGATTTGAATCATATGCAGTTGTACGTTCAATTTCTTTCTAAATGTGCCCAAGGTTGGCTTTCCCTCGGATCCAACAGAACCAGTCACCGCTGGCAATCGTGCCGGCATTTCTAGATTGCATGGCCAAGAAAATGGAACATGCATCCAAAGAGCAGGACTGGAGCAATCTCCAAGTTGATCAATGGTAGCTAGTTCAAATGTTGTTTCGCATCTATGTAGGAGAAATTGAAAGCCAAAAAATTTGTCAAAGCGTTAGAGAGGCTTGTTTGCAAAAGAGTTGTACCAACACGTGCTTAGCTTATGTCAAAGCAAATTCAATCTTAAGAAACATCCCTTACAACCCATCACCAAAGACCACATCTCAGGATGGCCACCAAGATCGAGGAGTATGCACAAGATTTGTCCAAGAAGTTTGATGCTTTGTCAGCGCTCCAAGGGGAAGCCTTGACCAAGAATCTTGATTCGCAACACACCGAGCTCAAGCAGCAGTTTGCTGAAATCACGAAGACGGATGTTGCACTGAACAACATCTTGGTGAGAGCAAGGCCTCAACATGAAGCAACGTACATGTTTGTTCCTGGTGTGTTCTAGAATTTCAATGATGCTCCTCTCGGCCAATTTGTCTCAACCAAAACCTGCCACAGGAATCTGAAGCCGCCAGCGAAGACTGTTCGAACGCTACCTGGTGGTGGTGAGGGTCGTGATGCTGAGGGTCGTGCCCCAAAAGCTAAAGCTAAGGCCAAGGGAAAGGCACGTGCCGCCAAGTCAAAGGCTAAGGCTAAGGCACGTGCCGACAAGTAGTTTCTAGATATGCAAAGCTACAGTTGGCTGGGTCTTGGAAAACTGGCCAGTGGAGGCCTATGTATACATTTCATTTTATACTAGTTGATTCTGGAGCTTCAAAGTGGCCTGCAATGGTGCCTGTTTCTAATCGTGTTGAACAGCGACCCCAATTCCAGCTGGCTTTTGAGAAGTGCTGTGTGCTTCAAATGGAAGCCCACTCTTAATTTGGCAAGGGGAATTGCCATCCAAGAGGATTGACAAAAATGTTTTGGAAAGTTCACCGCATACGCCAAGCAAATAGTTATGCAACTTTACCCTCCACCCTTTGCTCTCCACAGGTGCTTGGCCTTCGACTTCTGCAGCGTCGGAACCAATCCAAGATGAAGGCCAGACCTGTGCCGTTCAAGCATTTATTGTTTGTATATCTGGTGCCTGGCACATCCAAGAAAAAACGATAAAAGCGGCTCTCCACCAAAACATGATTTGGGAGGCTCGGACTCCGGTTCGGACTTGGCTGATGAGCTACTGGTTGGATTTGAGGAAGGGGCATCTTGGCTGAAACTTAACGAAAGTTCGGGGATCATCTTTTTTGTATCATGCAGCTGAAAAATGCTAGATTCCATCCTCCTGAGTGCCCCCCTATCGTATTGAGGCAGAAAGTGCGAGAAGAGTGGTGAGATTGGCACGGATTGCTGGGCGGCGCATGCGGAACCTAGGAATCTTGGCCTAGCTAACAGTCGATCCAGCTACCAGTGCAAAAAGACTTCCAATGGTGCTTTGGAATTTGCCAAAAAATAAGGAGCCATCGATCCAGATATAGAGGCTCTTGGACGGTGCGGCTCCACATCCGGGAAGGGGAAGAACAATTTGTCTCGGAACTTGCACCGTACACTAGCTAAGTTGCAAAAGAAGCTTGATGTGACCGTGTCTATGGCCAAACTCACTCTAAGAGCTGGTTGGCCAAAGCTCCAGACTGGCCAGTTTGACTACCCCTGGATTGCGTGGACGTCGTGGGCCAAATACCTTTTGCAAAAAGCTCCCCGATATCTCCTTGGAGGTTGGAATGATATATCCAATCTGGATGAGTTGACGGTCTTCTCCACTTTTTGGGACCGGTATGAGGGCACAGACCCCTCACATCCAGTGTTTGAAGACTTTCTGCCGGAAGAGCGAAAGTTTGTGATCCCTTACTGCATCCATGGTGATGAGGGCAGAGGTCGAAACTCACAACCAACTTTGGTATTAGCATATCAAGTGGTGGTGCATGGGCGGGGCCTGGCTTACACAGCTACCGCTGGGTGCCTTTTCTTGTCCAAACAACTGTGTTGTGTTTTTTTCATTTGCTATCCGTGGCATCTTGCATGATGTCTATCGATCATAAACGCGAATGAACACGCAGTATGTGATGTCTATCGATCATAAACACGGATGAAACCAGGTGTATGTACTATATACATATACACACATATGTCAGCCCAAACATGGCCTACCCCCACCCGGGATATTAAGGCACAGCTTCGGAACACGGTGGTTGGCGACCATCATTACCGACAAAGTCATGACATCCGCCACATGGGATGAGATTCATAAAACAGTGGCAGCTGATTGCTGCAACCTTTACTCTTATGGAGTGACAGCTGCTAGGCCTGCTACGCACATGTGTGTTTGTTTGTCACGCCAACCAAGTGTAAGTGACATGGCACAAGGCTTCCAGGACTTTGCTCGGCTTCCTTGTTGCTCAGGTTCAGAACCAAAAGTTCCACTTTGCTCTCGTGGGCATTAAAGGGGATTGGGTGTACCTCAGGAAGGCCATGAAGCTGGCATCGAATTTCAACTGGAGAAGTCATAGAATTTGCCATTTTTGCACAACCATGGCGCTTTGGCTGTAAGCTAGCCCTCTTCAATTTGCATGTGGTTTGCATTGCGTTGGAACCTGGACCTTTGGAAGCGGCCAACAGGAATGGTGGAAGTTTGGACCGTCCTCGAGCCTTCACCAATGGAATGGGGAAGTTGTGCCTGCTTGGAAGCATGACTCACCGGAAGCACCTTTGAGGATGATCCCAGGCGCAACCGCTTGTCGTATACGGACAGATTTGGCCCATACTTGGGCGATAGGTGTTGGGAAGGAGTTTGCCTCTTCATGCATCCTGCTCCTGTGCCATGTGGGTGTGTGGCGTGCACGTCAGCTACGCCTCCAGCTTGGTTCTGCCTGGGAACATTTTCAGAATTGGCGACGCGTTCACAAGGAGACGTGCAAGCTCACAGGCTTTAGCCTAAAGGTCTTCAAGATTACATCGTTTTTTGGTTGATCTTATGGGGTTCATTGCAAATTTATTCGCAGTTGTTTTTGCATGTTTTGGGGATCTGGGAGTCTGGGTCTGGGACTGTGTCAAATGTGGAATGGCTCAGGTTGAAGCAGTACCCAGTTCTGAGTGGTTCAGGCAGTGATTGCGTTGTGGTTTGCAAGTGGCTGGCTTCCTTGCTGGCTGATGTTTCAATGAAGCCTCATGGCATGGCTTCTCTGACAAAGTAGGATGTGCGTGTTGTTGGACTCTTCTTTGCTAGAGACGGAGCGCTGAGGTTCAAGCGCACGAGAATCTATGGGCATATATGCACTACACAGCCCAGGCGTGCAACTTGTGGTTTCGTGGTATGTACCAGAAAGGTTTGTTTCTGGATGCGGCTTTTGCTCGGCTCTTGGTACCCTATGGTTGGGCATTGGTGGAAGCTTGGGTGCACAGACTTTTGAGGAAACATCTTTGGGAACAGCTTTTACACATGTCGATGGTTTCTAAGGAAGGGTATGGCCTGTTGGCTTCAGCAGCGGCTCAGCAGAATCTTCGGCTTTTCCGAGTCAAGCCAAAGCTCCACATGCAGGAACATTTTCCGATCCTCGTCATGCATGCATAGAAACTATACCTACGTGAGTGCAATACTATGCCGAGCAATTTGTGGTAAGGTCCATTTGCTAGGTTTCTTTTGCAAAATGAAGCCTTCTAAGGAAAGAATGGGAACTTCAACTCGATGCAGGGGCCAAGTATGTGATCAACTTTCTTGCATTTAGCTGTTGGTCCGATGAAGATTTTATCGGGCGCTGCTGCCGTGTCAGCAGGGCCACACACCCATTTACTACTGGAATCCGGACCATTTTTTCGATGCTTAATGGCATACAAAAGACGTTTGCCACGAGAGATTCCTGAGTGAGACCATTCTGAGACCCCTATTAAGTGTTAACCAAAGCTGTGCCTCCATTTGTTATGTATGGATCTCTCCAGCTTATATATCCCACTGAGCACCCCGGCCACTCGCGGTGAAAGTCGAGCTTTTGCTGCGCCACTCTTTGAGAGCGAGGTGGGTGTGCAAGGGAGGGAACGGGGCTGTTGGACCAGATATAGCTATCCAATATTCTTGTCGAGCGTTTTTTTCAGTTTCGTATCACTTTTGGCAATCACGTGCCTAAAAAACCTCGTGCCCAAAATCATGGTACCAATGGATGGTACAGGTATGGTAATAAGGCAATACAGTATACGTAATCTATTGGCTGAAAATTCAACAAAGACGGCCAACATCGGCCAACAACACTACCCACACGTGCTGGTCCATATTTAATTATATAATGTTCGTATATGAGCAGCGGACAAAATTACTTGTGTAGCGCAATACCATTTGACATGATTATCGTTTTCGGTGGGGTCCATATCGTTCTCCAATGTTTCTCCAAACCGTAGTTAGCATAGCATACCAGCACATAGGCTAAAACACAAAATATGACTCACAACCTCAGATTAGAGGCTTACAGTGCTTTCTGCACAGGAATGGCACAGCACTTGATTTATGCACTCGGACCAACACTAGTAATGTGGAGAAGTAGGTCTACGGAGTGCCTGGCGTGACATTTAGGTTATCGTTCGCTTATCGTTTGGATTATCGTTTGGGAAGTTGTCTGGGATTATCATTGATGAAAAGAGGTGCCCATCGGTTTAGCTCAAATATGCTCAAATAAACTTGCAAATGCAATCGCATCTGGTAACCACAAACATCTTTGTACCCACTACATCTTAACAAGATTATCGTTTTTGGTGGGGACCATATCGTTTTCGACAGAAACAAAGCCCTCAACATAGGTTTAGGGTCATGCCGTGACTAAATAAGTCAGCCAATAATTTTGTCCGTCGCTCATATGTCAACATCTTTCCCAACTACAAAAGTCTGCACAACATGACCTCCTTGTTTCTCGGCACCATTTGGCAGCAAAACTCTTTTTCATGGAAGAAAGCTCGAGCAGGGTCGTCAAGATCCTTCGTGCTGTGCCAAAAACACTTCTTGGGGGTGTGACTGCCATGGAGAACTTCTGCAAAACAACAAGCTGGCAATGGGAGAGGGGCAACTCTCAATGAACCATCTTTGCCACCAGTGCCACTTAGTGTCTTACCTGCTTTATCAAATCCACTGGACGATGAATAAACATTCCACATTCCACAGTCCACGTCTATCCTGTATTCCATCTTTTCCTTGTTTGCTACATTCCTTTCTTCTGCTTACGAAGGCTTGTAGTTGATTGAATTTCATTCGTTATGTCATGCCAGTTCTTCTCTTTTTCGTCCTGCTTGTATCTTTCCTTACGCATTTCACTGATCAACATTTGAGCACCTCCTCTGCCCAGTTCTTTTAGCACGTCTCTTCGTACTAGTCAAAGCGCTAACCTTCAGGTATGCCAGTCGGATCTTGAAGCATTTATAAGAACTCCCTTTATATAGAGAACATAGAACTCCCCGAGGGCATCGAACGGTCACTCCCAGTCTTGGCACAGCTACCGATCCCCTTTTGGAGAACTAGGACCGCTCTAATCCTGCTGCGCACCAAGCCGTTCACACATCCCCTGCCGCCTAGCAAGAGACAGCCAACTATCCCAAGGAACCTAATTGGCAAACGTTGGTCGGAAATAAACTGCTTTCCTGTCACAACATCTTTCGAGGCACACTGGGACCCTGCAAATTGTCCATCGTAGTCGGCAGGGCTGCTAGGAGTGGCAGGGAAATCAACATTCGATGAATTGAGAAATGGCTGGGCCAGCCAACTGGCGGACTGTGGACATGATACAACATGATACAACTAACACGTTTTTCTGGCGGTTTTTCTCAAAAGAAGCTCAGCATCCCTCAAATCGCACCATCCAAACGAAGAAGCATTTTGCCTCTCCTCTTTCGGTCAAGGCCTGGACTTCGCAGAACCAATTCACTGCTCCCGAGCCGAGCTACGGTTAGCTCGGACGGGTCAGCCAATGGGCTGCTGACGCCGTTCTTTACATACGAATAGGCGCCGGCACCATAGCGAAAAATGCACGTTTGTGACACGCCGGATCAAACGAACCACAGCCAAATGAACTTTATTCCTTTCATGATATGTCGTCATGATGTGTGTGATATCTGTCACCTCTGAGACCGAGGAATTTGAGCATTCGATGGAATGTGGCGGTTTCTAATTGTCATTTGGATCTTTGGCTTTCCCAGGCCCGGCCAGGCGGCTGGCCAGGTCTGATCACGTCACTTGGGCGAAGCATCTCCTGAAATTTGTCATGACGTTCGACGCCGTAAAGTGGTGCAATGGAACATCATATTTGCTTGGGGGTTTGTGAAGTCAGAAACAGCAGGAAACACACAAGCAACAACCAGGATTGCCTTCCCTAGCAACATCAAGCGATGGAACTTGAGACCCATCACGACTACTAGCGTGAACTTGCCCGACTCCGTCATCTTGGATTCACCCCAATTACAAAAGCGCACGTGGGTTCTTTCCAGCTAGCTCCCATCATTGTGGGTGAATCTGCTGAAGCCAATGTGCGTCTCCGCCATAACTCTGAGGATGTCAAGCCCCCACTTGCCACAGGCTCATGTAATCCCGAGTACCTATTAAAAAACGGACCCCTATTAAAAAAAGTCATGCCGGATCCCCCTAAATTCGGTTTATATTTGGTTTTAAATTACCGCCCTTTCAAACCGCTACTAAACTACCAACATGGTCGACTTTGGGGGTTAGTTTTTATTAGGTTCCCCAAAACTCCCTCAAAATAGGTCCCAATACACCCTCAAAATCGACCATGTTGCGTTGCAGACTCTCCGCTGGCTCTCCTAGTAGCGATGCCTGCCACGAAACCTGCACTTCAAGGTCAACAGAATACTGCACCTGCCACGCAATCCGCATTTCAAGCTCCACAAAGTACTGCACCTGCCACGAATTCTGCACTTCAAGGTCCACAAAATATTGCACATCCACTGACCCTATTTTGGGCCCCCCGATTTCAGGGACCCTGCGGGCGGGTAGCGCGCACTTTTCAGCCTAAAAGGGGCTCACGTACATGTACACATCACAAGCTATACAGGATGTATGTTATGCCTTGCACCCCACTTGAAAGTAGTCGTGAGGCTTCTTTCACAAGGCTTCACTCGCATATGGAATGCTTGGCAGCCCAAGTCCTGGGCAACATTTGCAGCTCCTAAGCTGTAAGTATGGTCGGCTGCGCTGCTGCAGCCTTGGACATGTTGAGTCCAAATGAAACACATCCCTGCCTTCCAGGATGTAAACTTCCGAAAAGCGCCCAGTGTTGCGTTCACACTGGATGGCCACATCTTTACTCTCAGGCCGCGCCGGCTTGAAGCTCAAGCCCCCACTCAAGGCGCACCACCACAATGCCGTGCCCTGCATGACCAGCAAAATGCCGAAGGCCACTGCAAGGTCCGTGAAGATCCAATCAAATCCCCACTTTGATGCTTCTGTATTGGGCTCCTCAGTCTTCACTCCCTCAGCGCTCTGCAAGAGAGTCAGCATGGCAATGACCAGGGCCCGCTTGCTGAACCCGCTGAGGGCAATGGCATTGATGCTCTCAACATGCTTCTTGCTCTCCTGCTCATAGGCTGTCTCCTCTTTCAGCCCGATGCCCAGCTTCAACCTCAGCTCATTGAATCTCTTCACTGCCAAAGCCTTGGTGCCGAAGTCTGCTGTGTTGTCTTGGCTTGGCACAGCATGCAGGCTGAACAGCTTTCGATGCAAAGCGTCTTGCACCCACAAAGACTTCACTTCTAGGTGTCGGATCCTTCCAACCCCCTGGCGCTGGAACACGCCACGAGCTGCACTGCTGTCAAGGTAGACCTCCATCTGGAGCGGGAAGCCGATGAAGGCAAACACTTCCTTCATGAACAGTCCCTCACTGCAAGCCGCCACGCCACCGTTGAACTCAGCTTCACCAGACGACAGGCAAAGCATCTGGAGGCTCCTGGCGTAGCTGAACAACAAACAGCCACCAACCTCAAACATCGCACAGGCACAGCTCTTCCGGGTCTTCTTGCAGTTTGCCCAGTCGGTATCTGAATGTACCTTCAGAACCTCGACTTCACCATCTTTGGGCAACCACACGCCATAGTCTTTTGTGCCTTGCAGGTAGCGTGCCAAACGATGCAGCTTGTGTAGGCTTCCATCCGTAGGCTCCTTCATGTCTTTGGTCAGCTCACGGACTGCAAACTGCACACCCGTCCTGTCATAGGAGAGGTACAGAGCAATGCCAACTCCTGCCCTGTAGATTCTTAAGCTCTCCCCACTCAGCTTGTTGCCCTCCTTGACCTCCGAGCACAGGTAGGGTGTTGGAGCCGGGTTGCACTCCTCCAATCCCAGCATCTTCAACAGATCACTGATGTACTTCCCACGAGGTGTCAGGAAGATGCCGCCATCCATGACCTCACGGGTCCTTTTGAGGTGCGTCCACTTTTCTCCCACGCAGTTCTCATGGATCTGACTCTTCATCTTGATCTTCTCATGGAGCTTCTTCTCCAACTCCAGCAATGCTGCTTTTGGTCCTGTGGCATAGAAGTCATCCATGTGCACTTCCATCAACACGCCACTGGCCGGGTTGTAGAACATCCAGGGTGCTGCCGGGTTCCTCTTGAAGTCAATCTCCTTGAGATGCCCAGCTGCCCATTCCACAAAGGCCTGGCCAGCTATGCGTCTGCCATACCACTCAGTGTTGAGCTTCCAGACCACGCGATCAGGTAGATCGACTCCGCTGTCTGCCATCTTCTTCAACCACTCCTTGGGAGGCTTCATGTAGGCTTCTTCTGCAATTGGCACCTGCCAGAATGCATTCTCCGCATCAGCTGTCAAGAAGCTGTAGCCCATCTTGATGCCCGCAATGTCAATGACCCTTGACGTTGAGGTACTGGATGCCACCGCGAACACGTCAGTGCGCGGGTCTCCCCGCTTGAACTCTCTCACACAGTACCTGCACCTCACCGAGCCATCTGGCTTCCGGGTTCTGACCCAGACAGCATCCAAGATCTTCATGCCGTCCTTCTGCTCCACAGGGTCATAGGTCTGGTACTTGTCCATCTTGCGGAATTCTTCTGCGTCACCTTCATCCATTTCTTGCCTGCTCAAAGGCTTGCTCTCCTCATTGTCTGAGTCCTCATAGGCCTGGTCCACGTCATCCTCGCACACGATGGTGTCTTCTGTTGGCGAATACAGTGCACCCACAAAGATTCCAGCCACGCGAGCTCTCTTGCCTCTGGAGTCATCTCACCAGACTCTCCTGCCCATGCCCGTCTTGCAGACATGCCCAAATCCATAGGTGCTGCCTCATCACCGCCCACATCAGCTGTAGGTCTTGATGCCGACGAAGGACCTGATTGCACAGGAACATCTCCCTCGTCCTCCTCTTGGATGACCTCCCCACTTGGCTCTAGCCGGGGGCTCTTCTTGGCCGTCTCTTCAGTCGGGATCAGGTTCGGTGTCTGTGGCAAGGCAATGTCAGCCTTCCTCTTCGGCCTGCCGATGGTCGTGCCCATGTCCCACGGCACACCGATCATCTTCTCCATCAGCTCCCTGTTGTAGCGCCTGCTGCTGTCAGCTAGTCTGCGCACACTCCTGGCCGTCACTGTCCCATCTTCTGTTCCCAGTAGATTTCGTTACTGGTCACACTTCTCCCAAGGAAGATGCCCTGACGCCATGCCGTCTCCCCTTTGGGCACCACTGCCCTGTTGTGGGATCTCCTGGCCTTACTCATGGGGATCTTGAAGAGCACAGTCTCACCAAAGGGCACTAGCTGCGAGGTGTATGCCGTGTCGAAGGCATCTTGATACGCTGTCCTCTGATTGCCCTTGACGCTGAATCTGCTCCTGATGAATGAACACCACCTCACCAGCCATGGCCACAGGTTGTGTGAGGTGTGGAGCGTGATGCCATAGCTAGCTTCTGTCTGGTACCTGAGGGTCAGGACATATCTCCACGGAGCAACTTCTGGAATGCTCCCATTGTCCCAAGGCTCTGAGATGAGTACCTTGGCACTTCTTCAAATTGGATCTTGAGTCCTTCAGCTCCTGGAGCTTTCCCTTCTCGCAATGCACCAGCTATCTTGGCAACGATCTTCTTGATCACAGGCTCATTGTCACTTCGGAGCTTCACCTGCCTGTAGCCCAGCTGTGCTATGAAGGATGTCACTGTCTTGATCACATAGGGTCATCCCGGTGCCACTGTCCACGATGGAGAGGATTGTGTCTGAGCTCTCCTCGAACCGCTCTGCAATGGATGTGTCTGTCTTGAGGAAACTGTAGTCCAGCTCGAAATGGTTTTCGGCCAACTTCTGGTCCATTGTCCTGCGTCGATGTGGCTCATCCATTGCATGGCCTCTGGTGCAAAACTCACACCAAGGTGCTGGCGGCAGATGTGTGATCAGGTGCCGTTCCACTTCCTCCGTGTCCGGCTTCTGAGGTACCGGCACATAGGAGACATCGGGTTCCCTGCCCTCACGCAAGGCCTGCTGTCGGGCAGAGTTTCTCTCAATATAGTCTCGTGCCCGTGCCCTCCTGATCGACAAAGCTCTTTCTGCAGCCTGCAACCTCTTCCACAAGGTGTGCTTGTCACCATAGATAGGCTCCTTCAGCTCACGCAGTCTGGCTCTCATATCCTCCACCTTACTCCATCCATGTAGTCGTGGACGATCAGCTCGAGCATGGGCCTCATCCTCTGCAAACTCCGGTGGGATGGGGACCGTCTCGATCCCTTCACCCTCATCCTCGATGCCTGCATACTCCCACTCATACTTCCAGCCACAGGTGCCACCACACCAGTGTTCACCTCGAAGTCCATGGGGATCGTCTCATCATCCCGCACCTTGACATAGTAGGAGTTGCAGTGAAGGTACAGAGGAATCTTGAAGTCCAGCCGGGGGTGCGTGAGGAAAGGCTTCATGGGATTTCTCATATCTGCTGCAAAGCCATTCCTGCTCATCTTCCCAGCACTCAGGACATCCTTACTGGCCTGCTCGCTGACCTTGAACTCTGTGACTGCATTCAGGAACTTGTTGTCCTCGCCGATGATCTTGTAGTTCACCTTCTTCTTGCCAAGCCGTCCCAGGCACTGTCCTGAAATGCCCATCAGTTTCACCTCACTATCCTCAGTATGGCGATTGCCGCCAAAGCTAGGCCGACATAGATGCTCATCACTGCCTGAGTCCCACAAGAGGTACTTGATCTCCCTGTCAGGCGACTGGGATGCCAGCAAAAGCCAGTCCGATGGCTGCTTGCTTCGGTGAATCATCATCACCCACATCTCATCTGAGTACTCATCCTCGATGTCGAAGGTGTCCTCAGCATCTGCCCAGTCCACACGCTCTCCATCACCAGGCAGCCAGTAGTACACTGCATTTGTGCTCTGTCCACCACCAGGGGATGCAGATCCAGTTGCCGAAGATGATGCTGCTGTGATGGCGTTGGTGCTGCCACCTTTTCCTTTTCCCTCACGCTTGGCCTTCTCCTTGGCCAGCAGTCGGCAATCTGCTTTCTTATGCCCCCATTTGCCGCAGTAGGAGCACTCACCGTTGAACTTCTTTGGAGGAGGTGGTTTTCCCTTCTTGTCGAACTTGCCACCCTTGTTGACTCCTTTGTCATTCTTTGACTTGCCGCCCTTCTTGCCCTTGTCAAAGGACACTGCACCAACGTCCATGGGTGCTGCTCCACCATCGTCCTTGCCCAACTCGCCTTTGGCGTTGTAGTATTGCCCTGCTTGAAGGAAATCTCGCACGAACCTCTTTGCTCGCTCATAGTTCGTCCCAACTTGAGCTCCAGCAGTCCTCAGGGCTGACCTCAGTGACATGGGTGCATGCTTCATGAGGACTGCGATCTTTGTGGAGTCCGAGACATGCTCCTTGGCCTGAATCTCATAGCGCCTTGTCAGCACTTCCCAACTCTCCAAGGATTCCAAGAAGTCATTCTCCTTGACGGTCTCCCATGCTGGGGCGATGATGCTCATCAGCATGGCTGTATGCCTTCCTCCAACATCAGGCTCATAGGCCTCGCAGAGGGCCTTCCAAGCCTGGAAGCCATTCCCATTCTCCACATTCATCAACACCTGTAGGGCTCTGCCATCGACGCTCTGGGTGAGGAGGTTGAACAGGTTGATGGCTTTCTCCTGGGCGTGCTGCCCCATATCACTCAGGATCAGGTCGCTGTACCGGTTGGCATTCTCTGCAGCCTGGATGAGGGCCTGATAGCTCGTGTCCAGCAAGTTGAGGTACCCTCCTGCCACGAAGACCCAGGCTGCCCATTCTTCTTCTTTACCTGAGAAGCTTTTCAGCTTGCCAATGGCTCTGGTGTCGATGAGACCACTGGCGCCGACCTGTTGAGCCGGAAGGGCTGGCTGAGCTTGCTGCTGCTGCTGAGCTTGTTGAGGTAGAAGACCTGCTTCAGCTGCCGCTGCCAGGGAATCTCCGAGCGAGAAAGCACCTGGCGGGGTGAGCGGCGCAGCATTCGAAGCCATGGGTGCTGCTTGACACCTCCACTCGGGAAGGAATTACACCGTACCCCCACCGCTCTGCGGATTTACGGGGTGTCCACCACGCAGGCGCCCACGCGCGGGTCTTACCCTGTCTAACAGGGGACCCGGAGCAGGAGCTCACCCTGCTCCGCTACCATGCGGGCGGGTAGCGCGCACTTTTCAGCCTAAAAGGGGCTCACGTACATGTACACATCACAAGCTATACAGGATGTATGTTATGCCTTGCAGACCCCCTATTAGAACAGAACGGGTGCTCCTGGGAGATGTTTTTCATGCAAAAAATGATACAAAAACACTGTGTTTTACAGTGATTTCTTGCAAAATCCTCTCCAAAATTGAGGTTTTGAGCTATTTTTTGATCAA